CTTGTGCCCCTTTGTGCCTCTACTTACTCATCTTAAAGGGGGATCCCAAGATTTGCGGAGACAATGGAAGAAGACGTAATGTGTTGGAGTTCAAATCAACCCCAAAAGACCTCCTCTGTCATTGTCCTATTCCTGTTCTACATCAGAGGTGGCCAGAACTTCTCGAGACATCTCAGCCCTGATGAGGGCCCCTGGGACAGGGGCTGCCAATCCTGGCTGGTGTGTGGAATGACCCGGGAGCTTTCCAACACCCCTGCCCAGCCTGCATGCTCAGAGATTCTCGTGCAAGTGGTGCAGGGTGTGGTTGGGGCTCCCAGAGCCCCGAGGCTTGCTGGGTGATTCCAACATGCACCCGGGACCGACAGCTGCCACCCCAGGGCTCCAGGAGATAATCAGACCCCACAGCAGACCCCTCTCAAGCTGGTGGCGCAGCAGAATCCATCGGAAGCTCTTCTAAAACACAGACTGCTGGATCCCAACCCCAAGTGATTCCCTAGGTGTGGGGTGGGCTCAAGAATATGCTTTTCTATCAAGCTCCAGGTGATGCTAATGCTGCTGATCCCGGGACCTCACACGAAGGACCGCTGGCCTCCAGAAACGTCCACTTTCCGCAGCCTGACATTCAGAGGTGGAGCTTTGGGCCTGGAAGGCCCTGGGCCAGTGCGTGCAGCATCCTGCGCCCTCGGCGGGAGGCTTCGCCGCGGCGCCTTTAACGAGCGGTCCTGCAGCGCCCCCTGGTGGGAACTGCGGGGGCTGCAGTTAGTGCGGGCTTTCTCCCGTCTCGCGGGTGGCGGGTGGTGGGGAGCCGGCGGCGTCAGCTGGTCCTGGAGCCCCCAATCTTCCCTCTAGAAGTTCTGGGACCCGACCCCATTGGCAGGAGTCCCGGGACTCGACGGGGCCGAGGGGCCGGGACGGGACAGGTTGGGCCTGGGAGTGCGGGGCGAGCTTGGGTAGGGGATGGGGCTGGGGGGCACCGCGGCCACAGGCTCTGGAACGGTAAGCGGTTATGCGAGGGAGCCCCGGAGGAGGACAAACCCAAGTTCGAGCTCCCTTCCCCGCCTCCAGAGCCTCACTTTCCTCATCTGGGAAATGGGAGTGAAAACCTGCCTTCCTCCTATTCCCCCAGCCCTACTCTATGCACAGAATCAAACAAAGACACATACAACCCAACCCTAATCTCGTCACCCCACAGACCCCCACAGGGACACCATCAGCACGGGAGGTGGCACTGGAGGGGTCCGTGATCACCCGTGAATGACCCCTCGGATCAGGGGCCTGAGCCGTTCCGCGGCCTGGACGCGCCTCCGTCGGGCACCCGCCGGCCCAGCCCTCCCCTCTTCGGGTCTTCGCTCAAAGGTCACCTTCTCCGTGACGGCGCCCCCGAACCACCCGAAATGCGCGAGGCTGGCAAACCCTGCCCAGCCGACGGCTCGCCCTGCCGCCTCCCCGGGTCGCGCCACAGCGCGCGCTGCTCCGGAAGCGTCTTCTCGGCGTCCCCGCCCCACGGCGCCCCGCGAGGGTCCGCGTTTGTGGGTGTCCGGCCGGCCGCCGCGCCAGCGCCGAGCGGGCCCCGGGCCTGGCTCCGCGTCCCCGCGGCCCGCACCGTCCGTCCCGCCTCCGCCCGGCGCCGCCTCCTGCCGCCGCCGGGCCCGCGGGCGCTCGGCTCGGTGTCCTCGGGGCTGCGCGCCACCGTGCGCGGGCACCGTGCTGGCGCCGGGGACGCGGCGGGGGACAGGGCGACCCCAGCCCGGGTCCCGGGGGCGGCGCCTGAGCGCTCCCGCGGCCCCTCGGCCCACGGTCGCCCACCCCCGGCTCCCGATTCCTCTGCCCGGTGCGCGGCGGCCGTCGGAAAGCCGGGGGCGGGGACGCTCTCCGGAAGCTGCTCGGCCTGCGCTGTGGGCGGCGGGGACGTGGCCCAGGGGCGCCTGGGTCCCTGGCCGGGGAACGCGGCTGCCTGGTGGATCCTCTGGAGCGCAGCGAGCCGGGCTCTGGGCCGCAGCGGCGCTTCCCGGGGCCGGAGCAGCTTGCTGCACTCCTCACCTTGGGGCAACCTGACCTTCCCTTCTGCACTTTGACCTGCAGTACCCGTGTCCTCAGCGGGGTGTCTGGCAACAAATTAGTGTGGCGGGTGACAACCCATCAGAGCTTGGAAAAGTGGGGGTGTGGGGGAAGGGTTACATTTAGATAGGGTGGTCAGGGAAGCCCTCCCTGGGAATGGGACAGTTGCACAAAGACTGGGAGGAAGTGGAGGGTGGGGCTATGCAAATATCCTGGGGAAAGGCACTCCAGGCCAGGGGGACCGCAAGTGCAAAGGCCCTGAGGCAGGAATGGCCTCCAAGTGCTCCCTGAACAGCAAGGAGATCTGGGTGTCTGAAGGCACGGGAGAGTGGCGGGCAGTGAGGCAGAGAAAATGGGGACAGAGGAACCACACTGGTGCTATCCCAGAGAACTTTCTGTGATGGTGGAAATGTCCTATACTTGCGCTGGAATGGTAGCCAGTGGGTCCATGCGATTCTGGAGCACGTGTAAGGCGGCTGGTATGGCTGAGGGAAAGGATATTCCATCTTATTTAATTTTATTTAAATTTATTGTCCCTTGTGACCAGAGATTACTCTACTGGACAGAGCAGGTGTAGACCACTATAAGAACTTCAGTTTAACCTGTGGGGGCAAAGGAAGACTTTGAAGGGTTTGGGGAGGAGAGTGAGGGAATCAAACAGCCGACTGAGTTCCAAAAGGGCCCCTCTAGCAATGTTGTAGCCATGTATGGGGGAGGAGCAGGGAGGGAGGCAGGATCCCAGTAGGAGCAGAGATAGGACCCCCTTAGTCTGGGTCCATGGCAAACCTTAGGCCCAGGGGCCAGGGGCCGGGCCTCATGGTGAGTGGGAGTGGGGTGCTGACTATGGAGGGCTACAGGCCAGAGAGCGAGGTAAAGGGTCCACATGGGCACCAGGGTGAGGTATAGTTGGGCAGAGACTAACCTGGGGGCTAGGGAATGGAGCAGACACAGGGACCAGATGAGGTGCAGGGGGAGTAGTGTAGGAACCAGATTTAGGGGTGATGGCTGGGCCCCAGAAAGTGCAGCCGGATGGGCCAAGAAAGGGCATTCTAAAGATTATGGAGTGCTGGGGCCTGGCAAGATACAATAAAGCAACAGACAGCTCAGGCTAGAGTGGGAGGAGGAGGCCAGAGGTGGGGGCAGGTAGAAGCTAAAGCAAGGCAGAATTTATATGGCTGCAGATAGGTCAGGGGGCTGGGCCAGGGGGACAGCCACTGAACAAGCAAGGGACACTGGGTATAAATCAATGACAGGACAGTCCCAGGTGTTCCAGCTGGACTTCAGTTATGGGAGATGGGGCATCCCCGGCCCCATGGTCCAGAGCACAGAGACCCAGGCCAGAATGTTCAACTCACTTTACTGAAGGGTCCCAGGCAACCAGTGCACAAGGAAAGGAGCCTACGCCTGCTCTGGGGCTCTCCCCACCCCAGGAGGCCGCAGAGGCCACTCAGCCCAGGGCCATCCCCCCCCAACAGGGAGGAGGGGGCTTCCTCCCCAGCCCCAGCCCCAGGTCTACCCTAGCCTGCTCCGTGGTGATCTGAGGAACTGTCCCATGGAGGTCCCTGTGGTTCTGAGGGAGGCAGCTTCTGGAACAGCTGAAGCACATCCTGAGTCTGCTCCTGCACCTGGGGGTCCCCAGGCGGGGCTCACACAGTCCAGTCGGGCTGTGAGGGCGCCCCCAGGCCCCTGCGCCTTCCTGGAGACATGGAGGGAGGGCCCTCCTGGCAACCCCTGGGGACAGGGACTCTGGCTCAGGCACACACAGCCCCAGGGCAAGAGGACTTGGCATCCGGGGCAGAGCGCTACGGAGGGGACACAGTGAGGTGGGCAGCAAGGGCTGGTGTCCGCTTCACCACGCGGACACTGACACCCCGCGGAAGCAGCCACACTTGGGACAGCAGGTGCTGACCCCCCACAGCGCTGAGCCATGCTCCTGGGGGAACCCGGGACCCCGCATCCTCTTAGGCCAGGGGCTGCAAGACCAGTGCTGAGGGGCTGGTCAGCCCACGGCACAGGGGGGACAGCTGTTGGGACGAGGGGGCGGGGGAGGGGAGGGGACCATGGGCCTGCGGGAGGTGCGCTGCCCGGCACTGCCAATGAGGGAAGCCAGAAATCTGGAGTTTATGGGATTGAAAATGGTGGCAAATAATTCAGATTTTTGGCAATCACTGGGCAGCCTGAGGGAGATTCAGCCTGTGGACAGTAGCAGGCGGCCGGCCTTGGCCTTGAGGGGCTGGCTCACTTGTCTCAGCTGCACCCCAGGGGGGCAGGCCTGGTGCCCTGTCCCTTCCTCCTCCTCCTCCTCCGCTGCCCCCGCCCTTCCCCACCTCTCCTCCCTCCTCTGTCAGAGGACCTCTCCCCTCCCCGAGGAGCTGCCCCCTCTGCCCTTCGGCTGCCCCTCTTTCTGATATCATCTCCTCCCCCAAGCAGGGAGGATCAGCCTTCAGGCCTCAGCTACACGCAGACACGCACGGCCCAGCTGGGTGGCCCAGGCTCCATCCCAGAGCCCAGGCCCCATGAGACCGGGGCGGGGGGCCAGGGACGCAGGCCAAAAGCAGGCGTCTGGAACGACGGGGGCCTCGCAGAGAGCCCGAAAGAACTCTCTGGCCCGGCGGGCCTCCCCACTGCCCCACGGCCGCCGCCACGCTCACCCCGGTGCTAACCCGCGCCGCGCAAAGCCCAGCGCCCTGGGTGGGCCCCGAGACACCGTCCCATCACCTGGGGCTGCTGCGTCCGGGGAGCCCGCACCTCTCTCCTTCTTCCCTGGGGATCGCTCCCGCCGCCTGCCAAGGAGGGACTGCGAGGGGCCGGGCAGGCAGGCGGGCGGCGGGAGGCCCGCGGCGCAGCAGAGCGGGGGTGGGCGCGGAGAAGCGGGGAGGCCGCCTCGGCCGCAGGGGGGCGGGGGCAGCGCCCCGGGGGCGGCCGCGCGGCTCCGGGGTCCCCTAGCGGCCGCCCCTGGGGGGCTGCCTCCCGCCGCGACGAGCCTTCCTCCCGCCCGCCGACTCGGAGCCGGGGGGCGGCGGAGCCCTGGCCTCGCCGGCCTGGACGTGGGCCCCCGCGCCCGCGCGCCCCTTCTTTTTCCCGTGCGCCGCGGCCCGGTCCTCGGCCGGCGTCTCGAGACTGACCGCCCGCCCGCCGCCGCCGCCTCCCCCTCGGCGTCTGCGGGAGCCCGACGGGGCGGGGGCCGCGCCCGCCTCGCCCACCTCGCCCAGCGCCCCGGAGGCCGTGCGGGCCCGCTTGGCCCGCGCCTTGCCGGACGCCCGGGGCTCGGCCTGCGACTCCTCGCTCTCCGCCGCCTCGGCCGCCGCCGCCGCGCCCTCCCGGGCCGCCAGCAGCGCCACGAGCTCCAGGAGGCCCCCCTCGCCGGCGCCCCAGCCCGCCAGGGGGCCACGCGCGCCCTCTTGCCGGGGGCCGGGGGGTCGGGCGCGGCCAGGGCGCAGATGCACTCCCGCAGGCTCCCGCCGCCCGCGGCCTTCCGCAGCACCAGGGCGTCCAGCTGGCGGCCCGCCTCCTCCACCTTCCCGCGGGCTCCCCCGGTGTCCTGGGACAGGACGCCCAGGACCTCGCGGAGGGCATCCGTCCCGTCTCTCCTGGCGCTCCAGCCCAGGGACTCCATCACCGAAGCGATCTTCAGCAGCTCGTCGCGGGCCCAGGCGTCCGACGGGTCCGTATAGGCCACAATGGCCACAAAGTCGGGGTTGTCCAGCGCCTCGTCTCCCGCCTCCCCGTTCGGCTGCGACTCGCTCTCGGGAGCGTCGCCGTGCGCCGGCTCCTCGTCGCCCGCGTCTCGCACGGCAAGCAGGGCCACTAAGTCGGGGCCGCGGCGGCTCCGGCCTTGGCCGCCGCCGTTGAGGCTGACGGCCTCGGGCCCCGGCGCGCCTTTCTCCGTCGGCTCCCGCTTGGCTCTGTCGGTCACCGTCACCAGGGCCAAGAACTCGCGGGGCCCCTGGCCTGCGTGCGCGCCGCTCCGCAGGGCCCACTCCTTCTTGCTGAGCTCCTGGGCGGCCTGGTGCAGCGTGGCGGACGGCGCGCTCTGCGCCTCGTCGGCGCTCAGGTCGTCGGGGTCCAGCTCCTCGAGCACGATGCCCAGGCTGCCCTCGGAAGAGGCGCCCGACTCCCGCCGGGCCCACGTGGGCCGCCGCCCCCCTCGCTCGCTCTTCTGGCTCTTCTGGCCCTTCGGGGCCCACCTGTTGCCTCTGGCTCTGTTTCTGCGAGCCCGGCGGCCCCGCCTGGGAGGTGGGCCAGCCCTCCTGGCCGCCGGCTCTGAGCCCTGGGCCCGGGGCTCCCAGGCCCGAGAGAGGAGCGTGTCCCCGGCGGCCCCGGGCCCCGCGGCCTGCGAGGGCCTCTCATTCAGCACCAGGCGTCTCATCTGCCTCAGGACTCCTGGGTCCTCCGCGGGGTCCTGACACACAACCCTCCAGACCCCGTCCTTGCCCGGGATCTCCCTGGGGACGGACGCGTGATTTATGTCCTGCACAAACTCCACCAGGGCGGCCTTGGCCTTGTGGTCCCTCGCGGCCCTGGCGTTCCACAGCCTGAACGTGCCCAAGGGGCAGGAAGGCCGGCTGCAAGACGGCTTCGATGGCCGCCCGCTCCAGGCCCTCCGGGATGCCGGTGACCAGCAGGGCCCGGTGCATGTCCACATCCAGCCCCCGGCACCAGTCCCGCAAAAGGCTCACGGCCATGGTGCCTCTAGCCTGATGCAGCAGCCTGGTGCTCATGCCCCCTCTCCCGGGCTGTTGGCGAATCCGCAGGGGGCTTTCGGGTCTGCTTGCTGCTTTAGCCGGGCTTGCTGCGGGCCTGGCTGAGAGCCCAGACAGGATGAAGCTCTCTGGGAGCAACAGGTCCCCCTTCTCCCCGACCACTGCCCCCAGCTGCTGGGATCTCCTGGTCGAGGATCACTGGTCTCTTGCTCCAGGTCTCCTGCTCCAGCCAAGTGTGAACCTGCTCCCCCTTCCTCTTCCTCCTGACGGGTTCTCTCTCTCTCCCAACCCTACTGTAGGCAGCAGGTTTGGACTCCTGGGCGCTGGCATCCCTCTTTCCCCCATTGGCTATTGCGATTTCCATGGCAACCATTTTGAGGCTGTTGTCAGGGGCTGAGCATTTGTTTGAAGGAGCTCACTGGGACCTTTCATGATTCAGGGTGGCAGGTCTCACCCAGAGAACTCAGTCTCACTAACCTGGGACCCATCTCAGGGAACCAGGCTTTAATGGGGGGTTACTCTGGTCCAGCAGAGAGAACTGTAGGCAGAGGGAGAGGGAGAAACAGACTCCCTGCTGAGCAGGGAGCCTGTTGCGGGGCTCCATGCGGGGCTCGATCCCAGGACCCTGGGATCAGGACCTCAGCCACCCAGGTGCCCCCAAATCAGTGATTTCTTTCTTCTCAGCCTACCTGGTGGCTGAGCTGTCAGTCTGCCCAAGCATGGTTCTGTCCTGCAAACACTGACTAACAACTTGCCTATGGATGGGGGTGCTGGGGGGGAGGGGCAGTGAGACTGCCTTTACTGGCCCCCTGTTGGTATGAGACCTGGGGTCCCCGGAGCGAGGCAAGAAGCCCCAAGAACCTATGGCAAGGGACGCCTGGATGGCTCAGTCGGTTGAGCGTCCGACTCTTGATTTTGGCTCAGGTCATGATCTCAGGGTTGTGAGATGGAGCCCCATATAGTCAGGCTCCACACTCAGTGGGGAGTCTGTTTCTCTCCCTCTCCCTCTGCACCCCCCAAATAAATAAATAAATCTTAAAAAAAAAAAAAAAAACGAAAGAAAGGAAAGAAAAAAAGCAAGCAAGCAAGAAAGGAACTACGGCAAGTGGTGGTGCTGGGTCTGAGAAATCAGGAAGACCCTTTCCTTGTCCCTGTTAGTCCTGGCCCAGTCTTGGAGCTGGAAATCCTGCCGGCAATCACAGTGGCTGGAGTGACTGGAGAGGGAGTGAGTGCTCTGACTGGCCAGGCTTGGGTGTGTGAGGACCCCCACCTGGTCAGAGGTAGGGGAGGGGGCTCCCCAAAGAGAAATGGAGGTGAGTAGTGAGATTCACTGTACCTGGATTGGGGTGAGCCCGAAAGGAAGGATGGGACCTCTCCTTGCCTGGGGGGTGTTTTGGGGGAGAATCTCTAGATCCCTGGTTGGGGGAAGAGCATTCACCCATTTAGGTACTCACTGAAGTCACTCCCACCTGGAGAATTCATTCATTCAGTGTCTCTCTACTCTCTAGTATCTGTTCTGGGATCCACCTGTGCAGGTCGCTGGGGATGGTGTTGACTAAGCTAGGCCCTAACTCCTGAAGCTCAGAGCCCTGATTGCATAGGGACATGAGCACTCGCAGAGAAAGGCCTGGATTTTCAGGGGAGAAGAGTGTGGCTGAGTGGGGGCAATGTCAGGGCCAGGCGCATGGGGACTTGTGGATGTGACCAAGGAGCAGAAGGCTTTGTTGGGTCGGGAGAGCTGGGAGCTTCTCTACAGTTTAGGTGCTGTGGGACACTGGGAAAGTTAAACAACATCTCTGAGCCTCACTTTCCTCCTTTATAAGCTACTCGGAGTTGCTTTAGCCCCTAAGGCAGTAGGGCTTTAAGTAATGGTAATTGGCAATAGTCCTCCTCCTCTAATTGTTTTTGTCTGCAGGGGAGGCTGGGGCGCTGCCTGAGGGATTTGTTGGATTAGGGTGCCCTCTGGTGGGCACCGGGAGACAGTTCAGGGAAGAAAGATGGAGCCAAGAGTTTTAGAGATCCTTCCTCCTTCTCTTCTTCTTTTCCTCCCTCCCTTCCATTCTCCGGGCTTTCTTTCCTATCTTCCTTCCACACACACTCCCACAGGATCTGCTCCCGCCTAGCTGGAGGCCCAGAGATGACTGAGACAGCCCAGGCCCTGTCCTCCTGGGGTTCACAGTCCAGTGGGGGTGGGGAGTGGGGGAACCCAGGAATCCCTCCGGAGCAGAGCTCAACGCAGGAGCCACGTGCCCCAGGCTGGAAAGATGCCCGGGGAGGAAGCACCACAGTGTGCTCATGGGCCACGGTGAGGGGCTTGTGCTTTCTCCAGAGGGCAGGGGAGCCATAGAAAGGTTCAGAGAAGGGGAGAAGCAGGGTCAAGTTCATGATGTCTTGTGGAGGATGAATGGCAGATGGATGAATCTCTGAAGGCAGGAGTGGGGCTGGACCCAGGGAGGAGGCTGGGGATGGGGTGGAACACCTGTGGGCTGGAGCGGGAGAGAGGCACCAGGGCCCCACCCCATCCTAGTTTGAGGGAGGAGCCCCCTTATCCCCAGCTTGGTAGTCAGGCTTATGGGGCTCCCCAACACACACCTCCAGACCTGGCCCAGGTCTCCAATGCCCAAGCAGAGCTCCAGCTGGTGGTGGCGCCCCTTTGGGCCAAGGGTCCGTGCTCCCTGCTTCCCTGGGGCGAGTTGCTGTCGGCTCTGGTGGGTCTGAGAGAGAGTCTGGTAGGCCACTTGGGGTGGGCTCTGTCCCTGCATGGGCAGAAAGACCTTCCAGCTCCCACAGGGGGGTGAGAGGTAGCGGCCCCCGGGTCTCTGGATGCATGTCCAGGGGTCTCCGCATAAGGTCAGTGCTTTGGTTTACATGCCCGTAGATGTGGGTGTGGGTCTCTGTGTGTGTGTGTGTGTGTGTGGAGGGGGGGAATAGAGTGCCTCAGTCCAAGTGTGTGTCAATGTCAGTCTCTGTGGGTGTGAGCAGGTGGGTGTGAGCAGATGCGTGTGGTGTGTGTGAGATGTGCAGGTAGTTTTGTGAGTGTGTTGGTCTGTGTGTGTGTCTGTGTGAGTTAGCAGTGTTAGTGTGATTGTGACATGGGCTGGCGGGAGCCTAATGCTTCACCTTGAACTGAACAAACCTCCAAACCTCCAGCCCCTTCCATTCCCAGGCGAGATAGATCCAATGCTCCAACCTGAGACCGCAGTGCCCAGCCTGGGACTCCCTCCCTCAACACTCTGCTCCCTCTTGGGGAAGTACCAGGTCCTACAGGGGCGGGAAGGGAAGAGTGGGGACTCCAGGCACAGTAGACAAAGCTCCCCCTGGCCCCCGTGAGCAAGGAGGGGGTGTCAGCTTCCTTGAGCTGTGGCCCCTGGGTTCCCCACCTCTTCCGTCTTCCTGAGGACGCTAAGAAAACATGATCCTCATTTTTGGTACATAACTGGAGGCCCTAAGAGGTCAGGAACCAGCCCAAGATAACCAGGGGCAGTGAAAGGTTAGGGAAGGAGGGGGTGGGAGGGAGCCTAGGCAGCCCCAATCCAAATACCACTCCATCTACTGCAGCTGTGCCCATCTGTTGTCAACCCCTTCTCCCATTGTCACCCCCACCAGGGGACCAGAAATGTCCCCACCGGTCCCCCTCCTGGGACAGCCAGGCAGACCCTCTCCCCTTTACACCTGCATTCTGTTGTTTGTTCTCTTTGGTGATGTCTAGGGGATTAAAAAAAAACAACAACAACTAACAAAGAGATGTGCAAACTCATTTGTAGTCAGAGAACCATGAGTCACCACTTTGCACTCATGAAAAGAACGAATCTTTGAAGGCTGGATAATGTCCAGTCTGGGGAGAGGGGTTGGGGGCACAGGAATCCTCAAGCGCTAACGGTGGGCACGTGGACGGGGAGTGTCATTGCACAAGGTGACTTGCAGGGCTTGGGAGAGTTAGCAAGACCCAGACCCTACCTCCTCGCAGTCCTGCTTGTGGCACGCATGCCAGGGACTGTCTCATTCAGCACGGAAGGATGGTGTGAGGATGTTGATCATCGCGTCTTTTGCAGCGTGTGGGGGAAGAGATGGAGACAGGTGTGTGCCAGTTACTTTTTCTTTTTTTTTTTTTTAAGATTCATCTATTTATTTGAGAGAGAGCGAGAAACTGAGTGCCCACAAGCTGGGGGAGAAGCAGAGGGAGAGGGAGACAAGCAGACTCCTCACTGAGCAGGGAGCCAAACGGGGGACTGGATCCCAGGACCCTGAGATCAAGACCTGAGCTGAAATCAAGAGTCAGATGCTTAACTGACCAAACCACCCAGGGGCCCCTCTGCAGGTCACTTTCTGCTGTGCACTAAACCATCCCCAACTTAGTGGGATAAAACAACATCTGTTTATGTGCATGGGTTCAATTATAAAAGGTCACAGTGGGAACATCTTCTCTCAGCTCTCCAATGTCTGGGGCCTTAGCCGAGGTGACTCCAACATCAAAGGTCTGGAATCACCCGGAAGCTAGATCTCTCATGTGTCCAGTGCCTTGGTTTGGGGTGACTTGAAGACTAGGGGCCTAGCAGGAGATATCGACTTTTGTGCCCTCATATGGTCTGTCCATGTGAATTTGGCTTTCTCATAGCAGGGCAGCTGAGTTTCAAGCAAAAGCCTTTTATAACTGGCCTGGGAAGACCCAGAGCACTACTCCTGCCACACTTTATCAGTGGGGGCAGTCACGAGCTTCCCCAAGTTCAGATTCAAGGAAAGAGCATGTGGGCCCCACCTCTAGAGGGGGCACAGAACTTGCAGCCATATTTTATTTTATTTTATTTTATTTTATTTTATTTAAGATTTTATGTATTTATTTGAGATAGAGAGAGAGAGGGAGAGCATGAGTATTGGGGAGAGGCAGAGGGAGAGAGAGAAGCAGACTCCCCGCTTAGGAGGGGGCCTGACACAGGGCTCCATCCCAGGACCCCAAAATCATGACCTGAGCTGAAGGCAGACAC